GAAAAATCTGGACAGTTAAGAGCACAAATTAATCTTGCAAAGTGTTGTGGATACTTAAAGTAGTTAATCCAAACAAAAAGGAACAGTTGTTCCTTAAGTGGGCACGTTGAGGCAGTGCATAGCTTATGTCAGTCACAATCATATTGTCTGTGTCATTGTTTGGAGAAGGTAAAAAGGCACATTCTGCTCAGGCTGTCCCCATAACAGCAATTTATGGTCACACACAGCCCACCTTGGGTTGCCTCTAGCCCATAAAAACTTCTGGGCAGTGACCCAGAAGAAGCAGAGAGCATAGAGGTAGCTTTTGCAATGGGAGTAATAAAAGACCTTTGCTCACACACTCTGTCTAACCTGACCACCACGTGGGACCAGTGGTGCCTGCCCTGGGGCTCCCGGGGGCTGAGGCACTGCGTGGATGGGTGCCATGTGGGGCGCAGCAACCCAGACCATTTCCACTTGGGAATGAGCCTGCCTTCCACTCTGTTGTAGGGATGCTCTGACATAATTCTAAACAATGAGCTTCTTATCTGTACCTTCACCTAGACACTAAAAGTTCTTAAAGTTGAGCTTTTACAGAACCAGAGAAAGTGCTATGGGCCTGAGCTCTCTTCCCACCTCTGCTGGCACATAGCCCTCTTTATTTAAAAGATCTTCTAATCACACATGGAAGTAGGGTTTCAAAACACTAATGGGCTCTATGATTGACGGGGTGCTAAGCATGGGGAGAGAGCCTGGGTTCAGTGCCCAGCACCAAACAACAAAATAAAAACTGAAAATCCAATATACAAAAATTATTACGGGGGCAGGGATGGACGAGATAGCCCAGCAGACTAAAACGCCCGCTTTAAGCAAGCTTAAACAAGTGCAGGGACCTCAGCTCGATCCCTGGCACCACATACCATGCCAGCTCCACCCCAAGTGTGGGCTGAGCCAGCCACGGAGTCCAGCATTGTGGTGCATGCCTATTATCCCAACACTGCGGAGGCTGAATACAGGAGGATCTCTATGAGTCTGAGCTGCGTAGTGAGATCTTGTAACAACCAAATACATTTAAAAAAGAAGTCGAAAAGGTTGCAGGGCCTTGAAAAAGAATTACATTTATGACCCAAAACAACTCCTGACTTCTTCCTGAGACAGTAACTGGCAACTCCCACAGATTTCCATTTTATTTTTATTTCTGAAAATAGCATTCACTAAATGTCTTGCTTCCTTCTGTCTCAGGCTTTCTGGTGCACACAACCTCTTCTTTTTCCTTTTTTTTTCTCTTCTCTTGGAACAATAGGTTTTGCTAGAACTACAAGCGATTGTTCTAAAATGCAGTTTTAGAGGTTGTTCCTCTTTTCCAGACACTTGGCAGCACGCACAAAGCCCAGCAGACACACATGCGGACAGGCAGATCGCAAGTGCCCTAAGTGGACCTCACTTCAGTGTTTTCCACAGTGCAAGCTTGACGACTTGTTGCTTTGCGGCTGAGCAAGCTGTGGCTGCTTCCAAGCCTGTGGGGTTCTCCTTTGGGATTCGGGAAACATTATTCAGGACCCCGGATGCAATTGGCAGGGTGACAGCCACAGAGCGGGAGGTAGGCCCACTGGTTGCTCTGTGCAGTGTCTGAATGTTGTCATAGATGTGGTCCTGCCCTGTGATCCTTCAAAGCTTGAGGTTGAATCCCTTTTGTGTGGGTAGATAAGGGAGTGTATTGAGCTCCATGGAAAACAGACAAGGGTGTGCTGACAGATGGCGAAAGGGTCACCCCCATAGCCGGGGTCAGCCTGCAGCTGGGTGCTATGGCAACACTCTAAGAATCATCCTGTGAATTAAAGGATGGTTGGATTCACCGGGTTTGCCCAGGCGGGGAACCGGCTGGGTCTTTGTCAGCTAACCAATGAGAGGCTGGTTGGCAGCTGTGTGGTTTGACAGTCCAGCTGTGTTCAGACAGCTCTCTGCTGTGGTGATGACGGCACTCCCACGCCTCATGGCGTGTGCACACACGTGCGTGTGTAAACACTGTCAAGGAGGCAGGCAGTCCACCCCAGGTGTGGGCAACAGACTGTGAAGTGCTTTGTGCTTTTTGTCTGTATAGAATTTAAAAATAATAAATCTAAAAGTTAGTTTGCTTATTACTATAACGTCCCAACAGTTCCAGTATCTGTAATAAGATGCTCCCCTCTCAGAGGCAGACTTCTGATACTGCCCCCCCTTCATAAATCACTGGGATAAACAAGTATCGGGGGGCAAGATTATAAGCAGCAAGAGACTACCCAGAGAGCAAGATAAGATGATTCGTGTGTGCGCGCATGTGTGTGTGTGTGTGTGTGTGTGTGTGTGTGTGTGTTGGGCTACGGATTAAACCCAGGACCTTGACCGTGCTAGGCAGGTTTCTCCAGCTCAGCCTACCTTTCTCATATTTTGTAAATCACAAAATTTCAGGGGGCCTGGCACCACTTACCTGCAATCCCAGCACTCCGGGAAGCTGAGGCAGGAAGATTACAAATTCAATCCCCATCTCAAAATAAAAAAATCAAACAAGGCTGAAGGGGTGAAGCTCAGTGCCAAGGCCCTGAGTTAAAGCTCCAGGATTACAACAAAACAGAACAAAACCAAGATCAAAAACCCTCTGCCTTGCAGAGGGTTTGATCTGTGCTAGGCCCTGCAATAGGCCTTTCTGGTTTCTAGCTTTCTGTTTTAGTCATCCATTGCTGCTTTTAAAAACTACCCAGAGGGCTGGCGATGTAGCACATTGGTGGAGCACTTGCTCAGCATGCATGAGGTCTTGGCGTCAGTGTCAAGCTCTACAAAGCAAAACAAAACACTCCCCAAGAGCATGCCATGCCATGTTGTGCTGGGAGAGCCAGGTTCACAGTGCAGGCCACCAAAACTGGGCATAGTGGCAGCTTGTAATCCCAGCGTTGGGAAGGCTGAGACAGAAAGATCAAAAGTCCAAGCTGTGCAGTGAGACCCTGTACCAGATAAATAGATTAAAAAATAGTAAGAGTTATTGTCTTTAACAGGCAGAGGCTGTTAGCTAACAACTAGGCTGTTAGCTCAGAGGTAGAGCACCTGCCTAGCTTGTGTAAGGCCATGGCCCCAGAACTGTAAAACAACAGCAGTTTGTTTGGGACACTGCTTGGTGGCAGGCCTCAGAAGATGGTTTATCTCTGCTTGTTTCACCTGGTATGTGCTGAGACAGGAACTTCCTAGAAAGCTTTTCCAACTCATGTCTAGTACTTCAGCTGAGCTGGGCGGGAGGGTCAGCAGCTGACCAGACATCTCTCTTCTGTCCTGCAGCCTTCCATCTGGTCCCTTGGTCTTCCACACACAGAACTGCCTGTCTGTAGTGGCTGGCTTCCCACAAATCCCACACTTTAACCTCAGGGTGCAAAGTAGAAACTGTCACATTTTCTTAATGTGGAAAAAATCCTAGAACATTATTTCTACTACAGGCCACAGGTCAAAGCACTTACAGTATCAGCCCACATTGAAGAGGAGACACATTCCCCTTCCTGATAGAGGGGTGTATCGTGGTAGCCACTTTTGGACATTTATTTCACATTGTTTTCGCTATCATAACAAAGTATTGTGGCCTTTTACTGTTATAGACCTTATCAAGCTGGGAAAAGATTAAGTTTTTTTTAAGTTTTAAAAAAAAATGAGACCTGGGGCTGGGGAGATGGCTCAGTGGAATAAGTGCTTCCCTGGCAGGGGCAAAGGCCGAGTTCAATCCTTGGTTCCGCAAAAAAAAAAAAAAAAAAAAAAAACCATAAAAAAAATGAGACCTGTATGTTACCATAATTTGGTTCTGAATGGAAGGATGGTATCTTCTTGAATATATAAGTAGAAATAGGAGATTGTTGGGGTCTCCTAACAGCAGTGAACTTGAGAAAAAAATATTAAGGTGGACTTGATCTGTCTTTACACCCAGATCATGTTTAATTTCATGAAATTATACACTCCTAGCAATGAAATAATTCCATGAAACTACAGCCTAGTAATTTAGTAGGTCAAATGACCACCACGTTTTTTGATCATTATTGTTGTCAGCACCAGTTCCCTGAAGCAGACGGCCCACCCCATGCGTGTCCGAGGGTCTTTTGGAGACTGTAATGTGTGACAGACAGCAATCTGGAGAGTCGCTATACCTTTCACTTGGGTCAAAGGATTACGTCTCAGTCCAAACTGGATCCACAGGGGAACTGATACACCTCAACACGACTCCCTTGCCCTCGCGGGACACAAGCAGTCCACCTGCGTGTGTGCAGAGCTTTGGTTTGGAAGGTAAGGTCAAGTGCGTGGCCTCATTTTCTTCTGACTAAACACAGGCAGGAGGAGGCAGGCCCGCAGCAGGATCCCAGCGTGCGCGGCCACAGGCGAGCCCCGAGCACGGCGGTGGACACAGCTGTCCCCTTCTGGAGGGCTCTTTCCGAGGGCACCCAGGTCTCTCGGGGTCCTGACCTCTCTGCCTCCGGCCTGGGCTGACGGCTCCCGCTCACGGCCGACCCAGCAGACAGGTTCGCGCAGGTGGGCCTGGCCCCCGCCCGACCGGGTGGAGCGGCCGCAGCGCCCAGTCGGCCCCGAAGCAGCGCGCCTTGGCCACCGCGTCACAGGGTCGCCCCACGCAGGCCGGGCGGGGCTCCTGGAGTGTTTATCCTCCAGTGTCCTTAACTGTCCTCCTACAAGGAAAACACACGCCGTGTTCCTGGTGCCCCAAGCCCTGCGCTCCTCTCCGGGTCACCAGGGGCCACGGAGCCCCGCTCCCCGCCCCGCTCCGCGCGGGCCCCACCCGAGCAGCCCGCCCCGCGCGGCCTCCCGGGCTCCCGGCTTTGTTGCCCGGGCTTGTTTCCGAGCCGGCAACGTCGCGTGCGGCGCCGGGTCACGTGCGTTGGTGACAACCTCTCGCAGGGCGGCCCCGGGGCCTCCGCGCCGCTGATTGGCTGCGGCCGGGCTGGCGCGGCCGGGGGCGGCGCGACCGCGATCAGCTGTTCCGAGCGGGCGCCGCGCCGCAACAAAAGGACCCGGACGCCGGCGGCGGCCAGGGGCTGCTCGGAGGCTGGAGCTGCCCCGCGCCGCCGTCCCGGGACCCGCGAGAGCGCCTGCCGCGGTTCGGCCCACGTAAGTGCGGGCGGGGCCGGGGCCCGGCTCGAACCGTCCCGAATCGGAGCCGGCGGTCCGGCCGCGCTCCCCGGCCCTCTGACCCCAGGACACCCCTCGGCGGTCCGGCTGGCGGACAGGGCGCGCGGCGGCCGCAGGGGCTCGGACGAGCGTGGACGCTGCGGGACCCCCCACTCCCGGTCTCCGCCTCCCCGCGCTCCTCCAGGATCCCCAGAGCTGCGGGATGCACGCTGTAGCGCTGCCCCCCCCCCCCCCCCCCCGGCTACCGCCCCGTGGTCGCTGGCCTGAGCCTCGTCCCCGCCCGAGCTCACGCAACACGGCTCGAGGTTGCACCTGCGAACGGGCGCTGCGCGTCCCTGGCCTTGTGTACGTCGCGATCCTCTCGGTCCCGGGCTCCTAACGTGCCTAGGACGTGCCGCCCGCCTCGCGCGCAGGGTGGCGGCTTTCAGTTACCCGGGCTGGCATCACCACCGTGCGGAGCAGGCCTAATTATATTTTTGCCGAAAGGAAGTTCGAGGAAGGCGCAGAGAGATTAGGCAACGTCAGGCCACACAGCCGATTAAAAGGAAATGTTTACTCTTTCAAAGTTGCAAGTGAATTTTACGTGGGGATTCTTTGTTTTGATTGTGTTTTTCGAGTACGTTTGCCTAGTGTGTGAAATCAAATTAGAGACTAAGGAACTTCTTCCAACTGTGTCTCCCAGGAATCGGGGCATCCTTGGCTCAAAGAACCAAAGTAGTTCGGAGTAACTGGGGGTGGGGGATGGGAGTGGAGGGTGTTGGACGCGACCCTTGACTGTCCCCAGGCCCCCAAACCGCTTGCTTGGTAATTGAAATACCCTTTTCATTTGCAGGTGTGAAAAGCACCAGGAAGCTTTTGATTTTAAATCGCAGGCAATATAATTCTGAACTGGCAGCATAATTTTCAACAGCTCCTGCCTGGAACCACAACCTACTAATTTCTGTGACTAAGGTCTCTTTTGTCTTCTTATCCTATCTTTTGTGCTTTTCTGCACTCTCTGATTTCTCTTGGGAAGGGCCCAGCTTTCAAAAGTCAAGGTTAACAGGCTGTGAAGTACCTCTCACTGCTGCCTTTGTCCCCAGCACGGGGCAGACAGTGGTGGTTTGGTGGGAGAATAAAGTCCTTGTAAACCCCTGAATAGGCGGAGTGGGACAAGCGAAGACAGCTTTCTTGGCTTGGTTTTTTTGAAGTTAAAAAGTGATTTTAAAGTATTTGACTCAGCACCTTTAGTTTCTAAATTAGTGGGATGGGGTGGATATAAAGAGATAATTTTGAGGCTGTGTTTCAACGAAGGTGTGCCACCTGATATTTCAAAACTGTCCGGGATCCACAGCTGCATGCATCAGAGCTGTGGTTGTTTTTCTTTCTTTTTTTTTAAATTTAAAAATATTGTTTTTTGGAGCCTCCTACTGGCAGCCAAAACCAACTGAAAAGCACTGTTCTCTGGCTCACAGTACCAGAGTTGAGGCTGGAAGGAACCTGAGAGATCCAGCAGGGGTTTGGAATCAAACGGCTTTGGGCTGTAACACTGGCTCCACCTGTGCCTGGCTCTCCCTTCTGAGCAAATTAATTTCTGAGCCTCAGCTTTCTCCTCAGTAAAATGGGACAAATAAATACTCAGCGTCCCAGTGACATATACTCAGTACATGGTAGCTGTAATTCTCCAAGGGACATTTTACAGATAAAACAACTTGGCCCCAAAGATGCTCCCTGACTTGCCCATGTTCCCACACCTGGCCTGCAGTGACCCTAGTTAATATTTACTGAATGCCTGCATGTGCCAAGTACTGTTTTGAGTGTTACACACTCAGTCCTGGTGTTGGCACTGAGAGGTAGGCTTTCTAGCTATCATTCCTGTTTAAGGATAAGAAAACTAGAGCCCCACGAGGTTACTGAGTAACCCTGAGTTCACACAGTCTGCAGCAGCACAGCCCAGAGGTCTGATCCAGCAGGCTTCCTCCACAGCCAGCAGAGGGAACATTCCTTCTCTGGGGATAAGAGGAAAAACACTGATGACAGAATGTTAAGTAACAAGGCAGGGGATACAGGCTGTGCTTTCGCTCCACTACAACTTTAATACCAAAAAACACAAACTGGAAGAAAATGGTCCAGTCCACTTAATGACTGCAATAAAGCAATGAGATAATACTTTTTCCTTGTATTCTATGATGTGGCATTTTCATTTTACAGTAGTAAAGATGTATTTTTTTTTTTTTTCTGTCTTTTTGAGACACAGTCTCACTATGCAGTTCAGGCTGGCTTTGAGCTCACTGTAGCCCAGGCTGATCTTGAACTTGCCACGATCTTCCTGTTTCTGCTTCCTGAGTGCTGTAATTTACTTTTAAAAGTAGGGTGTGGATATATTTCGAGCCCAGGAAGAGAGGGCAGATCTGCAGATGCCAGGGTCCTAACTCTTTGTTGGGCTGCAGCCTGAGGCTAGCAAGTGTCTCAGAGAGCAGCAGCCCTGGCCACCCTTCTCTCCACTAAATCCCAGAGCTAGATTTGTCAGTCTGAGCTCTTGGGACATGGGCTTTCTGCAGAACTTTCATTTTAGTTTTAATCATTGTCCTAGACGTGTGACTCTGAAATAGCCCGTGACCAGGTGAGGAGGAGAGAAATGTGCTCCACATGGAGGCAGCCCACAGAGAGCGCTGGGCCCTGAGCCAGGGCCCAAGGGTATGAGGGGCAGTGGTGGTGCAGTGACAACCCCTGGCCACCAGTGAGAACAGGCTGTTAGAAGTGTGGCTGTTTTAGAAGTTTTCTAAAACAATACTGTCCACCAAAAACAGTGTGGGTCACTTGTATGTTCCAGTAGCCATGTTAAAAAGGAAAACCAAGTGTAGTAATTGTAGAAGTATACAATCTAGCATAAATCATTTTAATGTATAACAAGGTAAAAGTTACTGATTTTTATACTTTTTTTAAAAAATTGGTATACTTTAGATACGGAACCTTCCTCATAAGGAATTCATACTATACATGTGATATGTCTTGCTGCTGTTTTCTTTCTGTTCTCCTCCCCTCCTTTCTGTCCCTCTTTCCCTCCTTATTTACGAAAGACACTTTTTTGCTGCGAAGTCTTTCAGATACTCTGGTGTGTGCAGGTACAGCCTATCAATTAGATTCTACATTCTCATTGAAAAAAAAAAAAACTTGGAGGATTTTTTTGTTTAAGTACCAGGGATTGAACTCAGGACCTTGCACTTACCAGGCAGGTGAACATAAGCTCTGAGCTATCTCTCTGACCTTCATTGAAAACAGACTGATTGAGTTTACATGTCATAAAGTTTACATTTGAAAAAGTAGGTTCATATACCTTGCTTCAAACACACTTGAACTTTTTTTTTTTTTTTAATTTGACCCAGGTTTTGTTTTGTTTTTTTCTCCAGTACTAGGAATTGAACCCAGGGCCTTCATACCAAACTACTTTCCCAGCCTTTTTTGTTTTGAAATAGTCCTACTGAGTTTTCCAGGCTCCCAGAGTGCTGGGGTTGCAGATATACGCCGCCATGCCCAGATTCAACTTGTAAATTTAAATGGATTAAAATGTAAAATGCAGGGTCTCGCTCATACAGTCTACGCTGATTTACATAATGTGCCCGGCGGTCACTTCACTAAGCAATACTAGTGGGTGGGGGACTGTCCCACAGCTCCTTGTGCTTCATGAGACTACAAAAAGCAGGACTGAACAAACTTTGCATAGTTAGTCTGACCTCACTGCTTCGTTGTGCTGGACATCTGCGGGGGCTGCCTAGAGGCAGTAGTCCTACGTGGAGCACTCATTTCTCTGCCAGTGAGGCAGGTTCATCATAAAGACAATTGTTTCCTTCTAGGCACCTGCCTTAGAAACCAGAAGTAGAGCTGCTGCTTCTCCCTAGGCCCCCACTCCTCCACCCTCCCCTGGATTCCATGCTGTGTCCCTGCCACAGGGCCTGGGAGGTGGCCTCTGCCCACCCAAGGTTGGGTCCCTGCAGAGAAATAGAATTGCTGGAGGCTGCCTCTGACCTCAGAAGACCAAGAGTCTTCCTTTTGCTGAGAGCCCTTCAGGGCAGTTTGTCAGTGGCAGTCCTAGATGTCCCGGTACCAGCTATCTTCTGCTCCCCAGGCTCCCGCTGTAGGCAGAGGGGCAGCTTGCATTTGGGGACTCAAAGATGCTCCAGGCGCAGTGGCTTGGCAGTGTTTCTTGCACTGTGGCTGGTATTCACCTGGCCTGAGCCCCTGTGCCTTGCCCTCAGGTGGTGGCACAGGCAGGGGACAAGGTGCACATTCAGGACAAGTGAAGGATCCCACCCAATGGGCCCAGCTGCTTAGCCAATGCAGGGCCAGAGTCCAACTCTGCTCTGGAAGAGGGAGTTGTTAGCTGCTTGGTGGATGCAGAGCGAGACATGGCTTTGAAGGTACCTTTCCCCTCCTAGCTGATGGACCCACAGCTCTTTGTTTACGTCAGGACCTGGAGATGGCTCATCTGCCAGAGACGGCTGTCTCCCCACAAACTGCTCCGCTCACTTCTCTCCTAATTTTCCTTATTTCTCTTACATGGACCAGAAAGCTGAATTTAAATTGTTGTACCTGAGCTCCAGCTGTCATGCTTCAGCTGTGCTACTTTTCCGAGGGTTTGAGAAAGACTGGTTATGCAAGCGATACTTCCTGTTTACCTGCTTTTAATAATTAATGGCAGAAGATGACTTGTAACACAAAGTGTCCGGATGTCGTTTATCTTGAGTTGTTTTACTCTTGTAGTTTTGTGCCAAACCGCTATAGCAGCCCAGTTTACATACAGATAATGAACCAGGAGCCTCCACAGCTGTGTGCCTCAAGTACCTTAATAGCTGGAGATACTAGAAGTGAAGGAACCTGAAAGTTACAGATTCAGAGCTGATGCATGTGATAGTGATAGGGCTGGTGTGGTGGCACTTGCCTGTAATTCCAGCTACTTGGGAGGTGAAGGAAGGATGATGACAGCCTGGGCAAGTTAGCAAGATCCTATTGGAAGTTATAAGAAGGAATGGAGATACAGCTCAGTGGTAGAGCACTTGCCCAGTGCGTATGAGGCCGTGGGTTCAGTTCCCCAGTTGTAAGGGGGGAAGGTGATTGGTGAGATGCTTCTCATTGTCCTTGGGTGACCTTATCCATTCTTAAAATTTGTCACCCCCTTTGTGTTGACAGTTCCCAAATGTGTGCAGCCAGCTGTCCCAAAGTCTAGCTGCCTGCTAGGCTCTCCAGCTGTACTATCATTGGCTTCTCCAAATGCAGCTCAATAAGTACCCAGCCTGTACTTTCTGCAGTTTCACAGTCTGAAAGGTCTCACCCTCCCTTTGGTGACCAAGCCAGAAACCTGGGTTTCCTGACTCTTCCCACCCTTTAACTTCTGCCCTTGAAGGCCCTGCAGGATCATGCTCTTACTCAGCCTTCAGTTTGTTCCTGTAGCCCTCTGGTTCTGGAGGCGTGCAAAAGCCTGATGTCTTGTCTGCAGGATTTGTAATGTTCCCTGCCTGCTCTTCCTGATCCCAGCCACAGAGGGTTAAAGCCACTTACTGCAGTGGCACCATCAGCAAGGCCTGAGGACCATTCACTTATTCCACTGGGTGGCTCCACCTACCATGGGAGGGCCCTTTTCACTGCTGTCTCCCCAGTGCTCAGCACCAGCCCTCATGCATAAAAGTGCTCAGTAAATATTTGTAGAATAATAGTTGACCTGGACTGAAAAGTGCAGAGAATAGGTGTGTGCTGATTAGCTCAGTGTCTGCATTATGTCATTAACAAGAATAGGATCAGGGAGGGAGTTGGATCTGGACCGGACCTAGGGGGTTGAATGCAGTCCGGCTTAGGAGGTAGCTTAGGCAGTCTTGGAGAGACTGCAGGTTGATGTAACTAGGGTGGGGTGGTACAGCCAGAGGCCACAGGACTTGCTGGAGGGTTGCAGGAGGTGGCTGGGTGAGCAGCAGAGGGGTTGGTGGAGAGCAGCAAAAGGACTCGAGGGTGAACACCTTGGTTTCCTGCCCGAATAACTTAACTGCTGAGGGCTGTTGCTGCTGTTTACCCAAGAAAGAACAATGGGCAGGGCACATGAAAGTTTGTGGAGGAATCATGAAAAGTTCTTTTTGATATTTGTTCAGTTTGATATGCTATCAGGTAGCTGGGTAGAAATGGATATTGTGCATCTGGAACTCTGTGATAAGACCAAGCAAGCCACCATTTGTCATTTAGGACTCAGCAGAACCAGAGGTGGGAGCTTTTTGCTAGCTAAAATCATGCACTTTCCTAAATCTTAACAGCCAGTAAACAGCTGAGCTATGATTTGAACTTTGACCATAACAGCTCCAGCATGCACCTGCTAAGCCACATGAGGCATGTCGTCACCAGTCCTGGTGCTGCCTGGCTCTGCTTTCTGTGGTGTACAGTCTCCATGCCAGCACTGTCCTGAAGGCCAGAGTGTGCTGTGTTCATCAATTTTAAGTGTACAGTATTTAGGTATGCTTGAGGTCAGAAGCAGGAAGCATGGAAGCGGGGAAAAATGAGGGCCTGGCATTATGGTGGTCCCCAAGCAATATTGCCAGTTCATTTGGAAAAGACTGCTGGACAGCTGAATAGCATATAGTAAGACCATTAATCTTTTTTTTAATGTATTTTAGTACAGGGTCTTACTACACAGATCGGACTCATGGTGATCCTCCTATTTTCAGCCTCCCAAGTGCTGGGATTACAGGCTTATGCCACCAAGCCCAGTCTCACTCTCTGTCTCAGCCCTCCCCCGGGTGGGGCTGGCATGCACGCTGGGGATTGAACCCTGACTGCTGCTCTCTGCCTAAGCAGGCACCTTAGTCCGCTGAGCTATCTGGCCAGCTCAAGACCATTAATCTATAGGTGCTGGGCTCCTCTACTACAGAAAAGAGGCATGGAGAATGAAATAGATTCTTCAGATTCATAAAGCATACATGTGAACAAATATAGCTCTGCCCCTTTTATTTCATATTCAAAGTATTTACAGGTTGCATATGAGTACTTGATTCTTGATGTTTTAGAAAAGCTTTTGCATGTCTCACGTTGGAATCAAACATAGGCAACCATAGTGTAGGCTAAGACATATGCGCTCTTCTAAGGGATGTGGGTGTGTACTTATACAAGATAAGCATTTGCTGATGTGAAATAACCTTGGTTTTTGTTTTATTTTAGGGCTAATGACTCTTCTTGCTTTTCACCGAAGTTGAATGAAGACCCCTGTGCACTTTATTTCCTGTCTCTGCCGTCCGGCCTGCTGAAGGCAGCATTTTGAAATCTCAGCTATAAGGACAAACCGCCAAAGTTTCACTCTTGCCTTAACAATGTTCCAGAGGCTGAATAAAATGTTTGTGGGTGAAGTCAATCTTCCTTCTGATCAAGAACCAGAATTCAGTGAAAAAGAGGATGATGAATGGATTCTTGTTGACTTCATAGGTAAGAAATACTCAGTAGTTAATCTTAGCAACATGTAGAAACTCTTGCATGTAATTTTATTTTACATAAGTAAACCAGTAACCGAAGGTTTTTAAACCTTCAAGTAAACATTCAAGAATTTATCTTTTAGACAAATATATTTCAATTTGGAGCTAAAACAGAAGGATTATAAATCCAGCCTGAGCAAGAACCTGTTTCAGAATAAAACATAAAAAAGGGCTTACTTAGTGCACAGGTCCTGGGTTCAGTCACCAGTGCTACAAAAAAAAAGTAAATCAAAAAGTGTTTTGTGGGGCTGGAGAGATGGCTCAGTGGTCTAAAGCACCTACTTGAAACAAGCTTGGCAAAGCACAGGGACCGCGGTTCGATCCCCAGCACCACATGCCAGCCAGACCCGCCCCCTGGTGGGCTGAGCTGGCCACACACACACACAATAAATAAATGTAATAAATAAAAATAAATAAATATTTAAAAAAAAAAATGTTTTGTAGGGTTGGCAGGATAGCTCAGTGGACTAAGTGCCTGCTTAGGCAAGTGCAGGAACTGGGATTCGATCCCTGGTACCACGTGCTGTGCCGGCCCCTCCCCTAGGGCGCACTGAGCCAGTGATGGATTCTGGGCATGGTGGCGCATGCCTGTAATTCCAGCTCCTGGGGAGGCTGAAAACAGGAGGATCACCATGATCCTGAACTGCATAGTGAGACCCTATAACAAAAAAAAAAAAAAAAAATTGAGTATTTTGTGCCAGATGATCAGGGAAATTGATGTCAAATTTTCTTATTTTGCAACTCATACAGCCTGACCCAGCCAGGGGTACTTTAATGGGAACCCTTCATATTAGATCATCAGTAACCCATATGGACCATTGTGTTTACTCAGCAGAATAGGGACGGTCCTAAAGCCATTCCTGCAGAGCTGTGGTACACTGCCCACCACCAGACACAGTGCTAGGGAACTATTTTGTAACCATTACGAGTGAATATAAATGGCCTCATTTCTGGACTAAAGGGAAGGATGTGAGCAGTAGCTAACGGTATTGTCTCTTTTCTCTGTGCTGTGAATTTGATGGGTGGCTCCGCTGTAACCATCTGACCCGATCATCGTCCTGCGCAACCCATTCCACACCTGTGAACTGCAATATGGAACTTGATGTAGATACTTGCACTGGTTTCTCAGCAGAGGAAGAAGAGGAAGACGATGACAATGACATTAGTCAGGAATCACCTACAGAGCATCCTTCAGTCTTTTCCTGTTTACCTGCAACTTTGGAGTGCTTGGCAGATACGAGTGATTCCTGCTTCCTCCAGTTTGAGTCCTGTCCCATGGAGGAGAGCTGGTTCATCACCCCTCCCCCATGTTTCACTGCAGGCGGATTAACCACTGTCAAGGTGGAAACGAGCCCTATGGAAAACCTCCTCATCGAACACCCCAGCATGTCTGTCTATGCTGTGCACAGCGCCTGCCCTGGCCTCGGTGAGGCCAGCTGCGGGACCGAGGAGTTCCATAACCCGAGCAGTCCTAGGTACGTCGCCAGGGCATTCTCTGCACAGTCTGCTGAGCATGTGTTTTGTGTATTTGTGCTACACTTCAAAACTCAGTTTTTAGAAGATGCAGAAGTAGTCTTGACCAAAAAAGTCTTGACAGGTTTACGAAAGCTGTGCGTAGTACACAGGTGATCAATGGCATAAAAATTTGTTCATTTTAGATTTTTGAAAACGTTATAGTATGGCCCCATTGATATATAGGAGAGCTGTGTCATTTATCTGCCACTAAAAAGAAATTAGACTGGCATTTCTTCTAAGAATCTTAGTGTAATTCTGGCATGCTATAGACTAGATTACTTAGGCTATAAAGTTCAGTGAGAATAGTATGGCTCAAAACTATCTCCCAGATATTCCTAGTGATCACATTAAATATTGCTTAACCTTGAAAGCATTAGAAATTTTGGCATAAGGTAAGAAGGCAGTTTTCAAACCAACACATTTGGTTAAAGAGCCGTCTCACCTCCCAGAGGAGACTGCACGGCAGCGTGATGCTGTGTTGGTGCGTGGGCGCTTCGGCATTCTGTCTGCGCGGCTGCTGGTACAGGCAGAGCCGGGGAGGTTCAGGGTGTTGTCTGTGCGCAGAGACTGGCATTTTCAAGTGAACTTCCAGGCCTTCTGTGACCTTATCCAGAGAACAAACGCAGCACGCAGGTCCAAGATTGTGCCCACCTGTTTCTAAAATGAAGCCCCATCACCGAGTAACTGGCTCCAAGTCCAGCGGGGCTGTCTGCCCTCCTTCAGCAGAGCTCTGAGGTGTGCAAGCCTTGTGGCACCACCTTCGTGCCCTCCCCCAGGCCAGGGGTCCAGGTGCAGGAGGATGCTGGGAGCAGCTCAGCAGCTGTGATGAGCACTGTAGGGCGAAGGGCCGCTGTGGGCCATCCAGGCCGACTGCCCTGCTAGCCATCGTATATGTCTTCTGCTTCATGTTTGCAAAGATAAACAAAGCCAGGCAGCTCCTTACCTCACATGTGTTTCTTGTACTCATGGCCCGAATATTGTAGTGGTCTTTGACAAGGCGAACATGTTTGCATTTCATTTTGCCTGTACCAAAGTGAAACATAATACACTAATGAACTTATAAGTTGTAGGATAGGTCCAATCTTTGGTGGAATAAAGCTCTTTACTCAGCCCCATGATTTACCAAAAGGTCAGTCTTTCAGGCATCCCAACAAAAATTTAAAATACAACTTTCTGGAGGTGGTATTTTGTTGCTATATAGTTAACTTCAATTTCTTCAGTTCTTAAAAATTCTTCTCTCGAGTCTCATCTGTCTTCTGAGGAACTACACACAAAATTTCACATGTAGGGCCCAGGAGATAGCTCAGTGGCATAAGTACCTGCCTGGCAAGCACAAGCTCTCCTGAGTTTGATCCCTGGTACCAAAAAACAACAAAAAAAGAATTTAACATGATCTAATACACTGTGCTCACTGGCGTTGATACATTTTTAGTGTTTAAAAGTATGTATGTCTGTATAGTCGGTAGCTTTGCAAAAGAACATAGAAGCATTACATGTGCCTTGCAGAAAACACAACTATGCCAGAATTTAGAGGTGAAATGGCCTTCTCATGAATACTGTTAGCACCTAGGGAACAGCCTTAAAGATTGTTTTTCTGGATATGCCCATACCTCCACACCCACACCTTTAATCCGAATAGAATCACTAGTATATAAAATACTGTTCTGTAATCTGCATATTTAGGCGATGATCTCCACCATTTTGCCTCAGTAAATTTTTACTACCCAGATTTTCCTAGTAGAGCCTAGACAGTGTCATCAGGTCTGTGTCACACAGCAGCTGGGCCAGGAGCACACACGGCATCTAGTTGTTGTACATTTGCCATTTTGATGCACTGAGGATGTTATTTTTGTATCATTTATGTTTGAAATCATGATGATATAAAGGGTAAGCCAGGCTTGGTGGCACATGCTGGGTGTTCCAGCACTCGTGGAGGCAGGAGGATCACGAGGTAAAGCTCAGCCCAGCCAACACAGTGACTTAGCAAGACCACGCTTCAAAATAAAAATATTTTCAAAACAAATGGGAGTGGAGCTCAATGTGATGCCCTAGGTTTAATCCACAGTACAAAATAGACAAACACAGAAGATAAGCCAATGCAGGCGTTTTTGCAGAAATGAAGTGTTGAAAGAGTATACTGAACTTTGTGAGTTTTCTGTGAACATAGGAAGATCCAGTACATTCTTATAATTTTATCATAGTAACTAAAAAAAAATGTAAACATTCTTATTTTTAAACTTGGAAATTCTTTTAAGGGTGATCCGCTATGTCAAGGTAGAATCAGGTGTTACCAGAATTAGGAAGCTAGCTATTTAATAAATCTCTGCATTTTCTGGGGGGTGAGGGTGCAGCTAAATGATAGTGTGTTTGCCTGGCACCAACAAGGCTGTTTTGCCCCAGCACCACCCAAAAAAATTGTTTTTTAAGCAGGGCAATAAACCATGCCTTTTAAATTGCTTTCATCCTGTCTATCCTCAGGAATAGTACCATAAAGCATGTGAAAGTAAGGTGCTTGTTAATTGCAGTGGGGTTTGGAGCCTGTGTTTTATTGCATTCTAGCCTTTATAAATAATGCATGTGAACGTTTATAAGCTACCATAATGTTAAGTAAGATACGTTCCTTTAGTAAACCATAGTAAATCAGTATTAATAAAAATAGTTGACCACATCCTAACAGTGAAATTAAAATAGCATTTTAAATCTTACTAGTGATTTAATAGTTCACCATTTAACATTTGTAGGGCCAGGAAATGCTGCTTATAAGAATCTCGGGCACAGAGTAAGTATATTCACTTTGAGACTGTGTGATCTGTGTTATCAGTCTGCGCAGGGAGGCTAGGGACTCGGCACCCACTTCTTAAAGAAATGCTTGCTTTATATTCTGCTTACTGTGAAAGTTCTCTCATTCATTCTCTCTCTCTCTCTCTCTCTCTCTCTCTCTCTCTCTCATTCTCTCATTCTCTCATTCTCTCATTCTCTCATTCTCTCATTCTCTCATTCTCATTCTCTCATTCTTTTGGCAGTGCTGAGGATGAGCCCAGGGCCTTGCATATGCTAGGCAAATGCTCTACCACTAAGCTGGAGACCTACGCTTCTGTTAGCTTCTCAGGGGGACTTGTTTCAGCTTCTGAATGGGACTGGTAATTCTACTTGAAAGAATAAAAGAGAAGTGTTTTCCTCAAGTGACTGTAGGCAGAATATCTAGTTGCCCTTCTTGTGTGAAAGAACCCTTACAAGTCTTACCACATGGTCTGGAGATGTAGTTCAGTGGGAGAGCACTTGTCTAGCACATGCAAGGCTGTGGCTTCAGTCCGCACACTGAGGGAGAAAAGTCTTAAGATTTATTTATGTGTTAATATAATTTAGATCAGTCCTACTTGATTGGTTTCTACTATAGAGGTCACAAACTAATATACTGTATAGCTCGACTTTAAGATGATGTGTTCTACGAGGGTCTTTAAACATTGCTACGTAAGTGCCATTCTGAAAGGTAGAGCTATCTTCTACAATAAACTTTCTGAGAAAAGTATTAAGTTCCAATTTCTTTGTCTACATTCGTATCAAATATAGATCTCAAACATGTTTTCTAGAACATGGTATTTGTAGCCAAAAGGTGTTGTTGGCACAGTGCTTTCTGCTCAGTAAAATCTGGGAATTAAAATTCTGTTCTTAAGACTATGGTGAGAATGAAAATAGGTACTATTTGCAAGAGAATTGGCAAATGCAGATACTCAATAAATACTACTACAGAAAAGGTTACTTAAATCCACTCAGCGTGGAGAGCATATTTTTAGAATGCGGTGTCCCCCCCCAATGGACCCCGACTTCTTTCCGCTGTCAGTGCAGCCACGGCATTGGAACTTGTCAGTCAAGTTCTCACACAGTCAGGAGCAAGTTAGTGTGCAAAGCGAACTGTTAAGGCACTTTTCACTTGCATCAGTGGCATTAGTAACACTCTGTTCTTTAATACTTTCCACTCTTCTTCTGTTTCAGAATGGAGGCCCAAAGCGAAATGGGGCAACACATTCACTGCTATGTTGCAGCTCTTGCTGCTCATACAACTTTTCTGGAACAGCCCAAGAGCTTTCGTCCTTCCCAGTGGATAAAAGAACATAGTGAAAGACAGTCTCTGAGCAGAAATAGCCTTCGTCGCCAAAATCTCACCAGGGATTGCCACTCGCGGCAAGTCAAGCACAATGGCTGGGCTGTCCACCAGCCCTGCCCACGGCAGTACAACTACTAGGAACTTCCAAGTTTTGCTGGGTGGTTTTTCTTGGTTTGGGCATACGTGGGTGGATGTGTAGATGTAACGTGAAAACGCTGGCTCTCTGCAGCCAGCTGTGACCAATCACTTAGTTCATCAGCGTGCTTAATCGCCTGGATTTCTGTGCTGTACCACCTAACGCCTTGCTCCTAACGTGTACTTTTTTGTAAGTTTTCTCAGAATATTTTTGGAAACATATCAATATAATGACAGTGTTTGGTGTTTGGGGATGTCTTTATTAAAGTGTAGATGAGTTAGCATTTTAAAGACATTCTTCCCCCCAAGTACAGGAACAGTCATCTTTCAATTTCATTTCATTTTGTATTATTTAATCTATCTTTTGAGTAAGCAAAATTTATTCTCAGGGTCATCCGTACACTTTATTGACCAGTACTTGATAATCTTTTCTGTATATAATGAATGGATTTTTACACACTAACATGAGCATTAACAGGTTATATTTGCCGTGGATATAATGGAATCATGGCTGGACTTCCTTTTGAAAGAAAACTTGATATATTTCTGGGTGTGATTTTTTTTTTTCCAGATGAGTCATTCAGTTCACTGTGGGATTCAGGTACACTGAGCTTTGGTGAGCAGTGCTTTCAGTAATTCCGATGTGACTGTGTGACGTGGTACAAATGTCGTCGGAGTCACAGACAAATCGCTTATCTTACACAGGGGAGAGATGAGACCTGTGAAATCACCTTTAGAAAAATGCATGTCTATAAGTGACCCATTAGTCCAGTATTTTTTTTCTGCCAGCTCTGTCCACTCCCCCTCTCCGTCAGCTGTAAATTGAACAGTGCTTAAGCAGGCAGCGCCTGAGAGACTTCATCTGTGTCTGCTCACAGGAAGAGAGACAGTGAAAGTCCTCTGACATCCACCGCCCCACCACAGCAAGCAAGGCGAAGGGGCGTTTCTTGATGTCTTTTCCTAGGCCTAAGTGAAGAACCACAGATTGGCTTCCTTGAATCCTCATTTTTTGTTTTAACTTCAGGCAGAATCTTTAACCACTTGGGCCTCTGTTTCCTCCGCAGCAGGGGAGTCCTAACACTTACGTCCTTCACAGAGTTGATGTGAGGACTGTCCTGACTGGAAGTGGGCTGTCCAGACCCCACCTTGCGTGAGCTTCCAAGGGCCTTTCTACTGAACCTAGTGATGGGGGCCGTGGCAGTGTTTCTGCTGCAGCGGTTCCTCACGGGGTTGGTGCTAATGAGGCCAGGGTTCAGGGTTCAACTCACACGTAGGCCAGTTCGCTCGACACAGAAAAATGCATTTCCTTACCTCTAGCCAGTCACTTCGTTTCCCTGCAGTTGTGATGGGTTTTGCTGAGCCAGCCACACTCTCACCAGCTTCCTCAGAAAATAAAACACATTTGAGGTTCGGAGCACATCGTAGTGACAGAATGGTGGCATTGCCTTTAAAATCCAGCAGCTTTTCCTTCTCCTCTGCAGCACACATCTATGAAGTGTTTTCAAGGAAAAAGCGTATAGTTACGTGAAGTATTATATTTTTCAACAACTCTGTAACAGCTTGATGCAGGGACCTGGAACTCAGGAAGAGCTGTGCTCTTTTCTGACCAGCCCTTTAGAGTTGAAAGGGGTCAAGCATAGACAGTGGCTTAGATTGTTCTGCTGGCTGCGATGGCGAGCCAGGAAGTCTCTTCACAAGAGTCTAGATCCCCCTTTCTTTCCTTATCCCCTTTTATACTGACTTCCCTTTTATTTATTTATTTTCTAAGTAGGGGCCAAGTCTATAAAGTTTTGTCAAACTGAGTTAGAAGTTCTTTGTTGTTATTTGTGTTTACCAGAGTTGTGGGATGAGGTAGTTTTCATGAAGGTGTGTTTGTTTTATATCATGTCTGTTAAGCGCTACAAGGTGGTAACTTGAGAACAGACCAGCTAAATATCCTTGGAACCTAAGCCTCTGCATACATGGGGTGTCTTTGTCTTACGTTGCATGCAAGTTATTGGTACCTCACAAGCTACAGATGTTCAGCCATGGGAATTTGTCTGGCAGCATGAACAGAGTTGCATAGAAGCTGCGATGGTCGTCTTCTAACTGCTCCCCCCAAAGATTTTGTTGTTGTTGTTCCCCCAAAGATTTCTTGATCCCTTAAGTATGTTCACACCTCTCTGTTACTGACTTTCTGTTCCCCTTCTCTGGGCCCAGTTTTTTATGCTTTATACCTGGCAAACGAAAATTTCAGTCACCAGGATTTTTTTTCAGGGTTAGGGTTCCACCATCTTTGATAACATGGCTTGATTTCTGTGTCAGTATCTAAGGTCTCCACTGAAAATTGGCAAATGTAAGAAAATGGTTACATAATGCAGTTGAAGCTCTTGGTCACTAGGCATTTATTAAGTATCTGCTGTGTGTGCGACATGAGGCCAATAACCACACAGAATGTTGACCTGGTATGTAGTCTTTGAAACATGGCCAAAGTGCATTTTGTGAGTTTCTATTTTTGCTGTTGTAACTATTAGTGGTTTACATGTGTTTTAGTGCTTATTAAAAGCTCAGCAGTGAGAAATAAGACCCCTCCAAATATAGCAGTGCTGGCCATTTCTCAACTGATAACCTAGAAAGTTACCTGGAAAAGTCTGGAATGTGTGGTGCACACAGGCAGCGCTTTAAGAGTGAGTTTGAGCTTTTACAAAGCACCATGTTCCTCAAAATGTGTGTTTTTGTTCATAAACATTATATAATGTGTATCTTATGTTTATTTTTTTTCCTCAGCTAGTTGAATTATGCTCTGCACTGTAATCAGGTTAGCTAGCCATGATTTATCTTCTGTGGCAGTGGGTTTATATGGTTGGTTGGGTGGGAAGGTATTTGTCAAAGATGCAAAGGGGTTGGATTTTTACTTCCCATTTCAGGGAGCTTTCTTTTAATATTAATTTCTTGTGCATTTTTTCAGTTCCCATGTACCTGTTCCTGTTTACATATCTTCTATTTTATGAGTTGTTGGATTTTACTGACAAGATAATTTACTTAAACCCGAGAGGGCTGTTCAGCATTGCTGTGTATGGCCCTTTGCTCCTCAAACGTGTACATAACACTGGTTTGGTAATTTTCATGTCTTTATAAAATGATGAATTTCTGTGCTATTTCCCATCTTTCAAAAAAATACATTGTCATTGTTTATTTTTAAGGAACATACCCTTTCTTCATTTTCTGAATTGGAAACAAAGATATGTAGGACTCCACCTAGAAGATAAGACATTCTCATTTAAATGGGTTAGTGGGAAATTTTTTCAAATATTCTTGTTTTAGAATCAGTTAAAAGACTGCTCCTTGCCTTGGGAGATACTTGTACATGTTGGTAATGTTACCTTGCAGTTAATCCTGTTATTCTGTGAGGCCACAGAATACAGCTTAAACTCTTAAAAGTTGGGCTCCCATCCTGGACGGTTTTGCTGCCATCAGCCGGGCTGATGTATTATAAATGGCATCCTTATCTACTTATTTTAATGCTTAAAATTCTATATGAAATGCTTTATTTAGAGAACCTACATAATAGCAATGGTGTCGCCCTTGCCATGTATCAGTTTCACTTAAAATTTGACACCAGTTAAAGTGGTTTAGATAGAGAAAGGTGTATTGGAAAGCAAACGGATGTGGGTGTGTTTTCTCATTTGCAATGGTGTCCTTTATGTGGGAGGAGAAGTTACAGTTCAGAAGGAGGCAGCTTAAATGGATGTTTTGTGTATGTTTGAGAATTCTAATTGTGACATTTTGAATTTTTTATAATTGTTAAATGCCCAGTTTTGTTCTGCATTTGCCTGAAGATTTAGTATTGTTTTCTAGATGGACATGTATACAAACCAAACCAATATGGGGGAGGTTTGATGTACGTGTTTTCAGGCGTGTAGTGTGAATGGTTTTGTTTGGTTTTTTGGTTGTGTTCCCCCACCCAAGTTTTGAATATAATTACTAATTGTGTGTGTGTGTTTTTAAGTGGCTTTATTTTTTTTCCTCAAGTAAAATTGTGAACACGTTCGCTTTTCCGGGGCAGGGCGTGAGTTACGGAGGCTGACGAGTATTGTAGACTGTACTATGTGCCTTCTTGATGTGTTTCCGGACACACACTCTTTTCATCAACTTGAAAAACTCAAAAGGGACATTGGTTAGATTGTATACTGTACATCAATCTATGCATAAATGGCAGCTTGTTTTCTTGAGCCACTGTCTAAATTTTTTTCTGTTTTTATAGAAATTTTTTATACTGAATGATTCATAGATGGTCAGTTTTATACAGAGTGAACAATACAGCACTTCGCCAAAAATAAGTGTAGCATTGCTTAAACAGTGTGTTTTGACACCAGTTCTTTGTAATTGGGTTCAGTGGTGCATTTTGCACTGTCTGAAGTTACGGTTTTTACTCTGTCAGTAAATAAAATGTTCTTTAATGTCACACTTTGTCAGATTCTTTTATTTTTATGGCCAGTAGTCTTGAAAATACTTGCTGTTTAGTTTTTCTCTGCAAAACATATATTTAATATGCACCCTGGCTTTTTTAAAAGCTTCTGGGGGCCGGCGAGATAGCTCAGCAGACTAAAGCACCTGCTTAGGCAGGCGCAGGGACCACAGTTCAATCCCTGGCACCACATGCCAAGCCAGTCCTGTCCCCAGGGCGGGCTGAGCTGGCCAGAGTCCTGGCGTAGTGGCACACACCTGTAATCCCAACACTGGGGAAGCTAAAAGCACGAGGATCCTCATGAATCGGAGCTGTGTGGTGAGACTCTAACAACCAAATACACTTAAAAAATAATAAAATAGGGGCCAGCCAGATAGCTCATTGGACTGTGCAGGGACCAGGGTTCAATTCCCGGCATGCCATGCTGGCCCAACCCCCAGGGCACACTGAGATGCTATTGAGACTGGGCATGTGGCATGCACCTGTAATCTCGGCACTTGGGAGGCTGAAAACAGGATCACTATGAATCTGATCTGTGTAGTGAGACCCTGTAGACCCTGTACTAAATACTAAAATAAAAAAAATAGTCCATTAAAAAGCTTTTGTAAAAATTAAAGCTTTTGTAAAACAAGTGCATTAAGGTATTTTTCCATCTAAAATGAGGAATCATTTATGTGAACAAGATTTTGAGGGTGGTCCCCAACCAACACCTCCCTGCCATGGTCCCCTCTAAGGAATCAATTAGAATACAGATACAGGGATGAGGATGTAGCTGAGTGATGGAATGCTTGCTCAGCAGGCGTGAGGTCCTGGGCTCAGTACCTGCAAAACATGCGCACATGCACATAAGATGGGGGAGGGAAAAGTATACAACTCAGTACAGTGTTGCTTTTTAAAGGTAGCCTGGAGGTTTTGATTTTCACTGCGACTGCCCTAGGAGGCCGGGATCGGGATCGTGGCGTGCCTGGAGCAGGGCTCTGGGTCCTGGCTATGCAGTGAAGAGCCCGGGGCCAGGAGAGGTGAAATGCATTACCTGAGTCACACAGCTAATCAGGTAGCAGAGCTGGAAGGAGAACTCTGATTTCCTACCTCAGGGTTGGTGAAATGAGCCTGCTGCAGCAAAGCCTTAGTGGGCAAGGTATGAGGCGGCCAGCTGTGGTCAAATGAAATTCTGCAGTGGGTTCCGGAGGGCTCCTGGCTTGCCTAGATGGCTGTGTGAATGTCGCCCTGCAGCAGACAGACGGGCAGCTGACGCACAAGCATGGGGATGTGCTTATCCCCATTAAGGAGGCAATTCTGTAAGTACACAGAAGGGTGAAGGACACCAAGGAAGCATTCTTTCATAGTCAATATATTTTTTATGAAATGTTCTCTATTTTTTGGTTCTTTTGTGATAGAAATTGCCCTGGTTTCAAAATAGTTGATTTTTTCACTGACATGTGAGTAAAGTGATTGTGTAAAATTATGAATTGAATTGTAGAGTTTTTCACAAAATAAAGATAGCCTGGTAAACTGACAGTGAATTTTCTGCCAGATAAATGAAGATACAACCCTATCCCCCTGGTGGGCATTCCTTTTTATAAGTTGGTCTTAAGAAATTGTGCAGGCCACCCTTGAACTAGAGATTCTGCTGCCTCAGCCTCCTGAGTGGCGGAGGTCACAAGTATGTGCACTACACCCGGCTGCAGTCTTTCTGAACTGCCTGCTCTGCTTACTCCAGCCCTGAGTCCAACTGAAGGTGGGACTTGTTTCCATGCTGGAGCTGCCTAACAGCTGCTACAGAATGACCACAGACGTGTGGGGAGCAGGGCCATGTGACACAGGCCACATGCCCACATGGCAAGGCTTTTATGTGTACAGTCAACTGTGCAGCTCTGCTTCCCTGCCCTCTTCAAGGCACCTGATGGCCTGGCGTGGTGGTGCAGTCCCATAGTCCCAGCACTCTGGGAGGCTGAAGCAGAAGGATGCGCCCGGCCTGGGTAACTCAGTGACTCAGCAAGACTGTTCCAACATTTTAAAAGGATGGGAAGGTGGCTCAGGCTTGTCTGGTTCAGTAAGTGGAATGCGGCCTGAACGTGTGTATTCCCAGGTGAAGCTGCCACTGCCAGCTGAGGGAACATGCTGGCCTCATCTCTTTTTCATTGCAGTGTGCAGGGAGAGCAGCACCGTGTGGGCCCCTGCGGCTCCCACTCCTCCATTACCGCAGCAGTCACTATGTTCCCGAAGGAAGTCATTAAGGGTACATTTGTAATTAACAAAAACATCCAGTGAAGCATCTATTCGTGACCATGCTGCACCTATTCACTAATTCTGATAATAGCATTTGCATTTTCTTTTAGAAATCTTGTTCTTCCTCCATGACCCACACTGGTTTCCTTGTTAGTAATTCCCAGCTCTGCTGGAACTTCCCGTCCAGGCCTGGCCAATCAGATTTGTGAGTCCTCCCTGATATTGGGCTGGCTCAGGGTTAGGGCCATGCCCCAGTCAAAGCCAATGGCATGCACTGAAACTCTGGGGCTGCCAAGAGAGAGGCTGAGCCTGATTTCCACTTGACACAAGTAGGGAACACATAAACCTAGAGTTGCAGCAGCTCTCTTGCTCAACAAGGAGGGAGCTGTCAGACTATGGATAAGGGCCAGTGAACAAGGAAGTGAGGTAAGATCTGCTTGTCCTCGTGCCAATTTGTCTATCCTTGACTATCACTATGTAGAGCCCTGGTGGAGCAGGCTCTGGAGGGGAGATACTTTATTTTTAAAGTTAAGCTAGAAATAATGTGTATATGAAGGGGTAATCCTAAAAGGGAAGGTTGGGGAGATAGCTCAGCGGTCTAATTGCCTGCCTGGCAAGCACAAGGTCCTGGGTTTGATTCCCAGTGCTGCATGCCTCGCTGGCCATGGAACTCCAGGTGCTGGACCTGGCATGATGGCACACACCTGTAATCCAGAAATCCTAAAAGGGAGAAATTTATTTCCTCTAAATTCCCTTTTTGCTTAAGATAGTTTGGGTTGGAGTTTCGGTCACTGATGATGAGGCTTTTGCTTTGTCCCCTTGGCTTCCAGCAGAGCAGTTAAACAGCTTTTCCTCTGACCTCCTGGAGGAGGGCTGAAGTGGGCAGTCTCAGGATGGAAGTGAGCCCCCAGGTGTGGAGATCAGGACAGAGGGCTGCTGAGACTGAGCAGGGGCAGGAATAGACAGCCTTGTCTCCGCTGAAGCCATCACAGCTGAGAGCAGAACCCTTGCCAGGCAGGACGGCTGTGAAACACCAACCCATGCTGGCCACGTAGCACACACCTGGGGACAGTGAGCGTGGTGGGCAGGTGGAGCAGGCTCTGCGGGGTACTTGGGTGCTGCGCCCTAGCATGGGGCAGGTGTTCAGCAGCAGCACTGAGTACAGTAACAACAAAGGCACCAATAGAGGACTCAAACCCCAGCCCTAGAAGGCGTGAGGGCTCTGCTCTCCGGAATGAGATTAGTGCCTTTATAACATGAAGCAAAGGTGACAGCCTGGCCCTTTTCCTCTGCACTGGCGGGGATGCAGTAGAGTGCCATCATGGAAGCAGAGAGCAGATGTCACCAGCTACCAGCCTGTGACGGCCGGATCTTGGACTTTCCAGCCTCCAGAACTGTGAAAAATCTCTTATAAGTTACCCAGACTCAAGTACTAAAAGTAATAGGAAGAGATTAAGACAAAATCAGTGATCTAGGATTTTATAACCTATGATCCAACACCTTATCATGAGTTCTCTCCACATGGTTCTTATAGTTTCTGTATATAAACACAGTGTCACCATGTGTAGTGTCCTCACTGTATATGGAGCTGTAACCCACAGGAGCCTCTTTTGAAGTTTTTATTTGGAGACCACATCCTCTAAGACTATGTTAACATGAGGGGCAACTTGCTGAAGTGGATAGACCATAGAAAACTGGTTTTTTAAAAAATTATGTTCAGGGACTGGCCAGATAACTCAGTGGATTAAAGTGCCTGCTTAGGCAGATGCAGGGCCTGGGATTCGATTCCTGGCATGCCCTGCCCGCCCTGCCCTTGGAGCGTGCTGAGACTGGCAGTTGAGACTGGGCATGGTGGGTGTGCGCCTGGAATCCCAGGTCGTGGGAGGTTGAAAGCAGGAGAATCATTACAAGTCCGATCTACGTAGTGAGACCCTGTACTAAATACATTTTTTAAAAAAAAAAGATAAAGACATGTTCACAGACCCCTCCTGAACTGAGTCTACTTTAATTTTGAAACTTTTGGGTTATTTTGGTCCAAATATAGATTTCTTTTTCACTGTAATCTGGGTTTTTTTGTTGCTACCTTGGAAGGTTTACAGTGCTGCTGGGGTGCAAAGCACTTGAGATCCTGAACTTTCAGATCAACATGGAGAAAATCAGGGCTGTCCTGCTGCATGTTACCCAGGACTTTCGGCAGAAGCAAACACTGGCTGGCAGGAGATAGGGTAGGGGTTCAGGGTCACCAGAGGATTCCAGTGTGGAGGGAGGGGGTGCCCTGCTGGAAGTGGCCAGACTCAAGCCCATGAATTCCTGGTTCCTCTGAAAATGATGGAGCAAATCATGGGAACTGCACAAAATTGGAGTGACATTCCAAAGCATCTGACTTACTGAGAATAAACAACCAGTAATTATAGGGAGCATTCAATTAGGAGTGAAGTAATAGCCATTTAAAAATACTTTTATTCAAGTAATTGTACTGGTACATCTAGTGGGGTGATACTTTATTTTTAAAGTTAAGCTGGAAATAATATGTATATGAATGGATAATCCTAAAAGGGAGGAATTTACTTCTTCTAACTTGGATAAAATTTGTTTTTCCTTTTTTTCTGGGCAGACAGTGATCCTGCCTCAGCCTCCTGAGTGCTGAAACTGCAGGCATGTGCCACCATGCCCAGCTTTGATTAAATTCTTCTGATGCCGAGTGATCTGACTAAAGAAAATGTATCACAAAACTGCTCCAATATACCCTGGCCTAAAACTTTTAAATG